CATTAATATTTTACTAATCATTTTTATCAATTTGATTTCGAAGAGTCATTTTATTAATATTTTGTTCATCACAAGAAAATGCATATTTATATTTAAAAATCATATAATGCATTTGATACAAACAATCAATTCAAGTAATCCAAAGGAAAAACAAACAATTAATATTCAATACTAATAATCAATTAAATAAACACAATTCGTTAAATATAAGTCAAATTGTATATAATGAGTTCAGACACATTCTATATACACAGTTTGATAGGAGGAAATGCAAATCTAGATTCTAATTACTTAAAAAATTGATTGGAAAGTAAAGATTTGTAGTAAATGTAATAATTTGTACAGAAATTATATATAAATTTTAAAAAATTAGAAGGGTTAAGATTTTGTTAAAAGGTATGAGGAAAATACTAAAAGAGAGCAAGAGAAAAATTCAAATTTATTGTGATTTTGCCCTTATTTGGTGGAGATTAATATCAAATTTTTAGTAAATTTTGATAAAAGTTTAACAGTTATGGATTCCATGAAATATATTATTAAATTTAATTGTTAACTTTGATTCAGATTAAATTTTAAATTTCAATCGATACCAAATATAACTATATAAAAAAATCTCAAAAATTGGGGGTGACATGACCCCCCAAGACTTCCCGGGGTCCGCCCCCGTACGTGTGCACAAATATATTATTATTTAGATGAAGTGATTGAACAAAAACAACCATACAATTCTACTTTTGTCTCTTAGATGACTTAGGCTGAATAAATTCCAAGATTCAAAACTATTGAAAGTAGGAGGAGAGAAAAAGGCGTACCTATTGCTAAGGAGTGGATTACCACTCCTACTTATAGATTTTAAGAGTACTTTAGGCAGATTTTAAAAAATTCACTTATAAGTAAAAAAGTAAGTTTTAAATTAAATTTTATTAGTGAAAATTGAAAAGTAAATTAGTTTTTTTATTTTTAGTAAGTAAAAATTGCCTTTTAAAAATAGTAACTTCTACTTAAAAATAAAAAATAAAAATAATAAATGAATTTATTCAAACATGTTTTGGGATAAAAAGTTGCTACTTTACCTTTTTTTAGGCTTATCCAAACATGCTCTTACAGTCTTAATTAAAACCATAAATGAATTAGTTGACTAAAATTATTTTATTTGATAAACAACTGCCAAAGTTTCAAGATTTTCCACTTTCTAAGAGGCAGATAAAAAGTCAAATTCAATCTCATGCAAATTAAATGGTGCAAATAGCTCCATCAATTCAAGATAAAAGGTCAAAATCAATATTATGTTAGTCAAGATTACAATATTTTTGTCAACATTTTAGATGATTGATAAAAGATTCCCATTTGTAAGTTGAGAATTTGGTGTTGTGGGATTATGTACACTACATGGGCAAACACTACAGGAGCTTGACATTAAAGCAATGGATGAAACAAATCTAAGCCTAAACAATTCTTTAAGAATCTTCCTCAAGTATGATAGTGTTGGATCTAAGGTGTATAAGGTAATTATTGATTTTTATTTTCATTTTCATTTTTTTTTCGAGTGTCCAATATGTACCATTTCTACTATATCTCATCTAGCGTTACTCACAGTCTTTTAACATGCGAGGATATATGGCAATTTCTGATATGAGCGTTCAATCATGAGACTATTGAACACTCGATGACACATTATTTCAATATGAGTTATGCAACAACGAGATTTCTATTTTATAGATATTTCTACACATATCATGCTCAATTAACAAATTTTTTTCATTTTAAAGGATCTCTACTATAATTTTGCACTTGATGGCTGATATGTGCCCCCCAAACTATGCCTATCAAAAAGTATGTGGCTACGACTCTCTATTTTTATTAATTTAAGTTCACACTGATCGTTGCACGCATTTTACGAAGTTTTAAATATCAGCTCGCGACATAGCTAATAATCGATCTAGTCGTGCTTAGCCTTTGTTTGGGTTTCATTTTTTTTTTGATAAAATTATAAGTTGATAGAAATGAATAATGATTAAGTGGATAACAGTGGGTTAATATCCTAAATAGTCACTAAACTTTGTTAAAAGTTCCCAAAGGGTCACTGAACTTCAAAACTTTCCTAATTAATCACTGAACTTCACAAAAAGTCTCTAGGAGGTCACTGAACCTCGAAACTACCCTAAATAGTCACTGAACTTTTTCAAAACTACCCTAATTAATCACTCAACTTTGCGAAAAATTTCCAAGGAATCACTAAATCATTGATGTATGGGGTCACAATTTGCAAAGTTCGGTGACCTCTTAGGAAGTTTTAGAAAAGTTCAGTGACTATATAGGGTAGTTTTGAAGTTCAGTGATCTCCTAGGAACTTTTTGCAAAGTTCAGTGATTAATTAGGGAAGTTTTGAAATTCGATGACCTCCTAAAAACTTTTGGCAAAGTTCGGTGATTATTTAGAGTATTAACTCGATAACAATTGTTGATGTTATGAAACGAAAAATTACGTTTAATTTTGAAAAGGAACTATTTTAAAAGAAATCCCAAACAAAGGCTTAAAATGATCAGATCAAATCACTGGCATAACCTAAAGCATGTCATATCAAATAATAAAAAATGTTGACTACCATCCTTTTTCTTTTCATTTTACTGGAAACAAAAGTGTCGTCTTTTTGGCATATACTTACTTTGGAAACTAGTGCCACCCGCCTTTGGATTCTAAATCCGTTTTTTAAAAAAAAATTACACAGTAGTAGAAGAAAAAACCCATCGCTTTCACTTCCCATTTCTCCTCTATACATACATATATTTCTATATTATACGCATATATATGCCCACTGAATATGACTGAACTTTTTTTATATAATTATAATTGCAGTAAGAGGGGGAGAGATTCAAGATTTCCATATTTAATTCCGTTATTCTCGCGGACTGTTAGAATCCAGCCTAAATCTGTGCTTTTAGGGTTTTGCTAAGCAGTCGGGTTCAAGGTAGGTAAAAACTTAATCTGCATCACTATCTTTTCACTTTTTTGGACAATTAGTGAGTTGGGATTTTTCCATTTTTGAAGGAATTATGATTGTTGACTGCCTTGTGGTTTAATATTGTGATTTTACTCTGTTTTGGGAACAAATCTGAGGGTTAAGGTTTTGATTTTTTAAGGTTTCTGCTGTCTGGGACTTGAATGTTTATGTGAAAGAGGAAGATCATTAAAGTACTAGTTTTGGTTTATGGTTCAATAAATAGGCCAGTTTAATGACAGAAATTCAAACTTGAAAAATTTTGTGATTCTCGAAGGAGATTAGGATTTAAGAGAAATGAGGGGCAAAGGGATTGATAGAGAAAGAGTGAAACGGCAGTTGTCTGAGCATGTGCATTTAAAAATGTCTTGGATTCAGCATCAAATCCATCAAAAAGATGGCGTTTTAACATATCCACCTCCTGTTTATCCTGTATCAGCTTCCCCTTATGTCCACAAAGAATCGAGCCCTTCTCCGTCTTCATCTGGTACTAGGATTAGTCCTGCTGTTCTCTTCATTATAGTAATTTTAGCTGTTCTGTTTTTTGTGTCGGGTTTTCTTCATTTGCTCGTTAGATTTCTTACGAAAAGTTCGTCCTCCTCTCAGTCTAACCGGAATTTGGTTGTTTCCGGCTCTGATGCTCTACAAAGACAACTGCAGCAACTCTTCAATTTACATGATTCTGGTCTGGATCAAGCTTTTATTGATGCATTGCCGGTGTTTATGTATAAGGAGATTGAGGGTTCACAAGAGCCCTTTGATTGTGCAGTTTGTTTGTGCGAATTTTCCGAGAAGGATCAATTGAGATTGCTTCCAATGTGCAGCCACGCTTTTCATATCAATTGTATTGATACTTGGCTCTTGTCGAATTCAACATGTCCTCTCTGTAGAGGGACCCTTTTCAATCCCGGGTTCTCCACGGCAAACCCTATTTTTGATTACGATGATTTTAGGGAAGAAGATGGATATCCCACTAATGTAGAGAATCGGAATTCTTTTGCTGAGAAGACAGCAGAAATTGAGGAAGTTGCAGTAGAAAAGGCAGTTTTACCTGTGAGGCTCGGTAAATTCAGAAAATTGAATGAGGGAGAAGGGGAATTAGCGGGAGAGTCTAGTGATAGTAAATTGGACACTAGAAGATGTTACTCTATGGGTTCATATGAGTATGTAGTTGGCNAAACAAAAGTGTCGTCTTTTTGGCATATACTTACTTTGGAAACTAGTGCCACCCGCCTTTGGATTCTAAATCCGTTTTTTAAAAAAAAATTACACAGTAGTAGAAGAAAAAACCCATCGCTTTCACTTCCCATTTCTCCTCTATACATACATATATTTCTATATTATACGCATATATATGCCCACTGAATATGACTGAACTTTTTTTATATAATTATAATTGCAGTAAGAGGGGGAGAAATTCAAGATTTCCATATTTAATTCCGTTATTCTCGCGGACTGTTAGAATCCAGCCTAAATCTGTGCTTTTAGGGTTTTGCTAAGCAGTCGGGTTCAAGGTAGGTAAAAACTTAATCTGCATCACTATCTTTTCACTTTTTTGGACAATTAGTGAGTTGGGATTTTTCCATTTTTGAAGGAATTATGATTGTTGACTGCCTTGTGGTTTAATATTGTGATTTTACTCTGTTTTGGGAACAAATCTGAGGGTTAAGGTTTTGATTTTTTAAGGTTTCTGCTGTCTGGGACTTGAATGTTTATGTGAAAGAGGAAGATCATTAAAGTACTAGTTTTGGTTTATAGTTCAATAAATAGGCCAGTTTAATGACAGAAATTCAAACTTAAAAAATTTTGTGATTCTCGAAGGAGATTAGGATTTAAGAGAAATGAGGGGCAAAGGGATTGATAGAGAAAGAGTGAAACGGCAGTTGTCTGAGCATGTGCATTTAAAAATGTCTTGGATTCAGCATCAAATCCATCAAAAAGATGGCGTTTTAACATATCCACCTCCTGTTTATCCTGTATCAGCTTCCCCTTATGTCCACAAAGAATCGAGCCCTTCTCCGTCTTCATCTGGTACTAGGATTAGTCCTGCTGTTCTCTTCATTATAGTAATTTTAGCTGTTCTGTTTTTTGTGTCGGGTTTTCTTCATTTGCTCGTTAGATTTCTTACGAAAAGTTCGTCCTCCTCTCAGTCTAACCGGAATTTGGTTGTTTCCGGCTCTGATGCTCTACAAAGACAACTGCAGCAACTCTTCAATTTACATGATTCTGGTCTGGATCAAGCTTTTATTGATGCATTGCCGGTGTTTATGTATAAGGAGATTGAGGGTTCACAAGAGCCCTTTGATTGTGCAGTTTGTTTGTGCGAATTTTCCGAGAAGGATCAATTGAGATTGCTTCCAATGTGTAGCCACGCTTTTCATATCAATTGTATTGATACTTGGCTCTTGTCAAATTCAACATGTCCTCTCTGTAGAGGGACCCTTTTCAATCCCGGGTTCTCCACGGCAAACCCTATTTTTGATTACGATGATTTTAGGGAAGAAGATGGATATCCCACTAATGTAGAGAATCGGAATTCTTTTGCTGAGAAGACAGCAGAAATTGAGGAAGTTGCAGTAGAAAAGGCAGTTTTACCTGTGAGGCTCGGTAAATTCAGAAAATTGAATGAGGGAGAAGGGGAATTAGCGGGAGAGTCTAGTGATAGTAAATTGGACACTAGAAGATGTTACTCTATGGGTTCATATGAGTATGTAGTTGGCGGTGCTAATCTCCGGATACCCTTGAGCCATGACCGAACTCATTCTGACGCGAAGCTAGTCAAAGGGACAGAGCAAATTAGTAATCCTTCAAGCGAGGACAGGAAGAAGATTAGTATTGGCACAAAAACTGATAGCTATTCTATTTCCAAGATATGGCTGTGGTCGAAGAGGAGCAGTTATGCAAGTTCTTCAGATGCCCAAATGGAGTATCCATCTTCTCTTAATGTGGACTTACCATGGATGCAGAGAACAGAAGGTGTCTGAAAGGTACATTATCATTTTTTGATTAATCTTGTAGTGGTGTCTTTCTACTGTATCGAAATATAATTTACTCTGATTTGATAAATTCGGTGATAGTTCGTGACATAGTAGATCCATAATTGATTCGAATTTCAATTCTCCATCCGTTGTTACATTTTGTTCCCGTTTTCTTAAATGCTAGTTGGTTGGTTCATTGCTTTTCCTTTCTTCAATTTCGAGTTCTTATTTTGGACATCTTAAGAAAACTAGATGACAACGCGCGAAGCCAAATTAACAACTTGTTACTGGATAATTTCAGTGCAAAGGCTATTTTTTAGAACTTGACGAATTCTTGAACGACTAATTGCATTGATCATGGAATCGGCAAGTTATGCTGGGGGAAATAATACAACAGTGGCAATTATCTTTATAATTTTGGAACATTTCTATCTTGTAATGAAAAATTAGAGATACCCCGATGCTGTCTCGTATGTGTTTGTTAATCAACTAAAGCTGTTCTTTTCAAGCTTGAAATCCTTCTGTTTCTGAAGTGTGAACAAAAGTCGATGTCAACTCGACATGAGAAAGGACTGAGTTTATAAAGGATAATTCTGCTCGTCCAGACGTGGCGCCCCTGTTTGTCCAGGGCCCATGTGGCCTTGGACGAGTAGCAGGGTCCATAAAGGAATGTGCTTAATTTATTTGATCGGTCAAATTTTTGGAAAGGGTTAGTATAGGATGAGCGGTTTGAACCGTAATTTAAAATCAAATCAAACCAAATCGTTAATGATCTTTGGATAAAGAGTCAAACTTTAGCAAAAGCCAGAATCCATCCTCAAGTTAATGAAAAATCTTAAGCATAACTAAATTGTATTAGATTTTTCTCGTATCAACAATAAAATGCGGATTAACTAAAGTATCAGATACTTCATCCATCGCGTTTCTGTTATCAACTTTATAATCAACAAAATTTTAACGTAAAATTGAAGTCTTACGATAATCCCTCAAAGTGAAAATAAAATAAAAAGGTTACAATAATCCGCCAAAAGAATAATGAATTATAAGCGATTTTTATTAAAATTAATTAACAAAATAATTTAATGGAAACGCCAAGAACAGAGTCAATTAATCAACCGACCACTTACATTTATCGTCAAAAACTCAAAAACCGCCAAATCAACCCGCCTCTTCCTCACGCGAACAGTGGCGTGTCCTTGCCAAACTCCGCCGACCCTTTCGTTGACACCGGAATAGCCGCAAACCGGGCCGAAAAGTCCAGTACTGGCCAATTTTTCTCCAATTGACCGTCTTGCCCCTGCCCTTCATCAAAATTCAAAGCATAACTCAGAGGATCGTACTGGAATTTTCCCGTTTTGGACCGGGCCGTCGACCTATTGAACCGGCGGATGAACGTCTTCCATTTCGGACCGGCGACGAGCTCCGACCATCCCCTAACCTTCTTCAAGGCGTTTGTTCCCTTCCCCCACAATCCTCCGGCGCTCTCCTGCTCTTTCTCCGGCGTCGATACCCTCTCCCAGTTATCGGGTTGTCGGGTCTGGAAACACGGGTAGTTCCAAAAACAGCAGCAACTATGACCGGATAATCCAGGTTCTTGCAATTCCTCCTTTAGATTCGCTTCTTTGGTGGAGAAATCTGGACCGATTTGCGATTGTAAGGCCATTTCCGGTCAAGAGAGAAAAGAAGAATATGGGTTTTCTGTAAACCCTAACCCTTAATCCCTCTCTATCCCCCAATCCAGTCTCTCTCTCCCACTATTTATATATGCAACGGAAACATTGGTGCTACTGCTCTCCGGAGATACCGGCATATATTTAACTGTAAATAAATGGAACGTTGCGGCTGGAAGCAACGGTTCTATTGGTAGGCCACGTGGTACAACTTCATTGGGGGTAGCGAATAAAATAATAAAGAGAGTGCTGTAGGTGATTAGGAATTTGTATATATACATGGATTGTGCTAGATATACATTCAATTAATTACTTAATGGATTACACCCCACTCACATGGAGGGGGCCCACGAATATTTTATTGTGTGTGGGCCCCCCTCCATGTGAGGGTGGTGTAATTCATTATGTAATTGATTGTGTACATTGAGACCAATCCATATATATATTGAGTAATGTTATTCATTTCCAATGGAGTTACAAATACGAATTAAGCTAAATGAACATAATGTTTGACATAGGGATTGACTGACCTCTCATATTGCATGTGGGTCCCGACCTGAATTAAATAATGCTGACCTCCCCCATGTGTGTGTGTTGTGTCATCATTAGTCAAAAGATGATCACAAATCAATTTCCAACCGAAAAGTTATGCTCCGATATTTTAGTCTCATATTGAGACCTATTTTTGGCATAGAAAGTGATCGAATTGGAGAATGATGTCTGAATCAAAGTTATAGCCAGATGAGTTAGCTTTCCAACTCGTTTTGAATCGCCTCAATCGGATATCAGAATACAAAGTTATGATAAAAACAATGAAAGAAGGTGCAGTTGCCTATTTAAAACAAGAAATTCTGTTACATAGTCCGTTAAAAGAACAAATTCTGTTAGTTTTTCTGTTAAAACAAGAAATTCCGTTACATAGCCACTTTTAATATATAGAAGATATATTGACTAATGTTATTCATTCCCAATGGAATTACAAATACGAATTAAGCTAAATGAACATAATGCTTAACATAAGAGTTGATCGACCTCTCATATTGCATGTGGATCCCGACCTAAATTAAATAATGCTGACCTTCCTTATGTGTGTGTGTGTGTGTGTGTGTGTGTGTGTGTTGTGTCATCTCCTATGTCAAACATTAAGTTAAATAATGTTGATCTCCCCCATGGTATATGTAATTATGTTAATATAGGATAAATTGCATATCGAATCCAACCTTCTAAGAAAGTTACAATTTTATATCTAATCAATTTTTTGTCGCATTTATAGTCTTTTTTCTATTTCCGTCCATTTCATCAAATAACTCGGGTCAGGTGAGCTGCAAATCGATTAAAACAAATAATAACATAAAAGGAATCCAATCATCTTCTCAATTCCACCCATCCCTACCTTACCCAACCGAGCTTTTGCCACCATCGTCACAGCCACCGCACCAATGAGGCGATGACATCACCTTTGGGTATTGGGAGGAAGAAAATAAAAATTTTAAATAATTTTTTAATACAATATAATCATTTGGTTTATTAAATGTTGTTTTTAAATAATGTTTTATAAAATTTCCTTTATAAAATTGGCTCATGCCTGAAATAACGTAGAAATTGGATGGAAATTTCTGACGGAGATTAACTTTGGTAGTTTACTAAAGGTTGAGAACCATATTATGCAACAAAATTGATTAGGGACAAGATCCGAATTTCCTGAAAGGTTGGGGACTATATATGCAATTTACCAATTAATATATTTGGTGATTAGGAATCTAATAAATATAAATGATGATAATTGACGGTGGCTTAAAGGTATATATATTCTTATGAGTAATGCTACTCTATTCTTATTGTTGGTGTGAGTAATAATTTGATCATTAGCAAATCATTGCTTTATAAATTAGGATGTATAAAGAAAAGGACCGGAGACCAAATCAGCAAAGAAAAGAAGTATCAGATTGTACTAATTTAATAAGTTGGGAATACAAAGAATTAAATTTAATCTTTAAAAAAACCATTTTCACATGAGAATTTGACAACAGATGATATGTCCAATTAAATGAGTCTCATACCATTACACGTAATGTCATCAACGTGTCACATAGGATGATGTTTTAACATCGACGGTGTCAGATATCATTATTCTCTTCACATGAGAGCTCGATTTATCTTTCTCCATTAAAGGCGTGTACTATTTTCTTAAATAGATAGCAACTAAACAAGATGAAAATTGTTTATTTTTTAAAATCGTCAAATGATAGTTTGTTGTCAAACTTGGTGTACATCAAACACGATTGTTTTGATACTACTTTTAAAATCTAGGATGTATGAAAACTTACAAGGTTAGCGTTTCCATTTTGAATATGTTTTTGAAATCGAAACCCTCTGCGAAAGCTTAAAAAAAAAATAAAAATTGTTTTTTAATAAATTTCAAAATCCTGAGAAAACTTCAGGCAAACTTTTTAGGAAAATTTTGCAAAAGATATTCGAATATACGAATCCGTGACCTCGATTAAGAAGTAACTTAATTCTGAACTTCAACCAACAATTTAGATAATTTCGGACCTTAATTTTTATACTAGAGGTGCGGATGCTTTTTTTGGGTGATTACCTTTGGCCAAAAAAGAGGTCAATGTAATAGAGTACCGTGAATTAGGTCTTTCTCTCTCTTATATTTATCCAGCAATAGAGATCGATTGCAAATTTTTGACGGGCATCTTGGTATCATATGAAAAGGCATTGGCGCAACATATTAATTTTGAGAAAACTTCAATTACTTTTCACTCTGAGTCAAATATGAAAGTTTTAAATTACCGAATATTTAAATTCAACATGTAGAATTATACAATTAAAAGCAACAAATCACTTTTTGATTGTATCTGGATGGTTAGATCAAATAAGTCAATTTATCCTAATTTTGAATACGGTAATCAATAATTAAAACAATAAAAAAACACCAAAGATGATCACGGAGAAACCCCAACTAGTTAAAAATTTCGGGCACTTTGCAAATCAATAATCCACTATAAATCGAAACAACTTATAATAAGGCACGGACTTGTCTATCCTGTAGAATTTCTGACTTCAATTCTTGCAGTCTCCCTTGATTCTACTGAAGATGTGTTCTTTCAAAACAAATCCCGACTTTTAGTAAACCTTAACCATTTTGGATTGCGTGCTCTTGACACAAGATTCCGACTCCTAATATCTCACCTTAGTCCTCCTCAATTTGTGCTTTCACAATAGCTCCCGATCCCTAGTATCAATCTATCTCATGTTAAATGGTTTGGTGTTTGATCAAAAGATCTTGTATGTTTTGATATATGGTTTAATATAAAACAATATGGCTAAATCAACAAATCAAAGGTTTGATGGAATTATGGCTCAAATAATAATATGATGGTTGAATCTTTGAATCAATGAATGTGTTTTTTTATCTTTGAAGGAATGATCTCTATTGTACATATGATTCAACACACTTTTAGACGTTCATATGATAGGATATATATAAGGAAAAGTGTTTAAGATGAGAATGGATTGAAAAACCAAGTGTTTGAAGCAGAATTGAATCCTGAATGTCGACCTGTCGCTCGAGCGTCAAGCTAGCAATGGCGAGCATCAAATGATCATCAAATGAGCAGTCGTCAGTATTTTTATCATAACTTTTTCTTTTGATATTCGATTGGGGTGATTCAAAATGCGTTAAAAAGTCAACTTAAAGGGATACAATTCTTTTAGAGGTAGCCTTATCTAAAGTCTAATATTTTCTATGTGAAAAATGAGTTGCAAGTTGCAATTGAGAATTGGAACATAACTTGTGTGACTTTTTGACACTCTTTAAACTTTTAATTGCATTCTCTTGATCATATGTGATCTTCTTGGACATCTTGGATTCCTTCAATGACTATACACCCAACTCCAACTCTTTTGACTTTAATTTAGATTCAATAACTTATATTTTGACTTTGATTACAACGTGATAAACTTTTAATACAATTCAATCAGAACATGATTTTGACTAAGAAAATTAATAGTTAAAATTTTAGAAATTATCTATTATAATTTGGACTTAACAAGATACATTAGGATGGCAAAGGGGTGGGATGGCCATTCTCATCCTTGACTCGTTGAGGATTTTTGGGATGTTGAACTGAGATTTAAGCATCATCATTTATCATTTTGTTTAATTAATTATTTATTTTTAAATACGATTTATGTTGAAAAACAAAATAAAAGCATTCGAGGCACTATGACGTGAGGAAAAATATAAAGGGTTCCATGATACTCATTTGGAATTGCCATGCATGTGGTCGGAAGAAATAAGCATCACGCATTTGCTTCCATTTAAGAGAAGGTTTGGAAAAGAGTTCACGGTATGGATGACAACAGGGTGGATTGGCCATTTCCACTCCCGTCCCTTTGGATACTTTGGTCATCTTACCCCATCCTCATATCCGATTAAAACAGGACGGAGAGGGTTCTGGGTGGGACGGACACGTCCATTGCCCCGTTTATTGTCCAATTTTATTTTTTATATTTTTTTAATATCTTTATCCTCAATTTATTAAGAACTTATATTCTCTTTAAAATGATGATAATTTTTTTTTTAATATCTTAAATTTAAAATTAACATTAAATGGGACAAGTAACGGGGACGGTCCTTGTCCCCTACCCACTTCAGGGCATTGACCCCTGCCCAGCCCCCGTCCTATTTACCTGGTTAGGCAGGAATCCCCTACCTATTCGGGACGAGACCTTGTAGAGATTGGATTCAACAAATTATTTTGCCATCCTTAGTTCAAGGTTAGAGGTTAGGGCTATTTTTTGTGGGGGCAAAGCGGTCAGGGGCGGAGCCAGCCCTTCAAACTAGGGGGGTCCTGGAGTTGAAGGGCAGGGGCTCGGGGGGGTTCGTGGGCAGCGCCCCCGAAATTTTTTTTGAAACATTATCTTTTAAAATAAGGAAAATTGGTACTTTGTGATGGAGAAATGAAATAAATGAACATAA